ACAAAATGTGGCGTTGTTACAGCTTGAGGCTTGATCACTTTTAACCAGTCTATATTCTCTCTCTGCAAGTCAGCATTTCCTTATGAAATCCTTCCACGAAAACTATAAATTGTAATCAACTACTGTGGAGGTCCTCTGCTTTCTTTCACCAGTTAAGGATGGGGGCAAGTGGTCTCAAATATGGTTGACTGGAGTGTCTTCAAAGTTTGCCAATTTTCCTCGATGGTCAGTTTTATTTCACAGCGATGAAACAACAAAGGCCGGTCAAATCATAACAAGATGCTCAGTGCAACTTATTTTCTTCTCTTTTTTACAGATTTTATTATTCTTACATTTCTGCGTTTCCTCTTCCTCTCTGGTTCTTTCCACTTCTGTCTCTGATCTTGACCCTATCTTCTCCCTGTTTATTTGACCTTGACCCTGTCATCTGTGTGGGTCGCCTGGCTACAGTTTTCCACAGTGGTTCACCCAGTTGCTACAGTGGGAGCCGGTCGGCCGAGCGGACAGCACGCTGGACTTGTGGTTCTGGGTTCGATCCCAGGCGCCGGCGAGAAAAAATGGGCAGAGTTTCTTTCACCCTATGCCCCTGTTACCTAGCAGTAAAATAGGTACCTGGGTGTTAGTCAGCTGACACGGGCTGCTTCCTGGGGGTGGAGGCCTGGTCGAGGACCGGGCCGCGGGGACACTAAAAGCCCCGAAATCATCTCAAGATAACCCACATTGGTGCCCTCCGCCTCTCCACAATTTCTCGTTTTTTTTTTTTTTTTAGCATTCTCTTCCTCTCCTTCCTCCCATCTTCGTTTCTCTAATTATCTCCGAGTTTCCACCTTGTTAAGCTTATCACTGTCTGATACAGTGCCAGACCCCGAAGGAAGAATTAAAACATGAATTTCCTTAAGTACTTTCGTATTTAATAATACATCTTCAGAAGGGTGAATTTACAAGTCATTGCGAAAGATTTATGCGTTTTGAAGGTAAACCAGAGTTAATTTACCAGTCAGTAGTGTGGACATGTATAGGCGAGAAAGAGGGGAAGCGAGGTGAGGTACATAGGGCATGGGATTCAATGGATCAAAAATGGATATAAATAGGAGTTGCATGATATAAATAGGACCCGCAAGTCGTTTAACAACCAGACATCCAATCACAATTGGGTGAACAGAGGTGTTCAGTTAAGGGTTGGCTCCTATCAATCCTCCTTGGCCAGGATTCGAACCTTAGGCTAATCGCTCGCGAGGCGCAAGCCGAGTTTGTTACCACTACGCCAGCAGGGTTTAGGTAGTGGTGGAGGGAGCATAGTTGGTTTGGTGATGGTGTAGGTAGTGCTGGCGTTGGTGGTAGTATTAAAGTCGCAGGTGGTGGTGGTGTAGGGAGTGGGTTGCAATTGGTGGTGGTGCAGGTGGGGGTGGTGGTGCAGGTGTGGGTGGTGATACAGGTGGGGGTGGTGGTCCAGGTGGGGGGTGGTGGTCCAGGTGGGGGTGGTGATACAGGTGGGGGTGGTGGTGCAAGTGGGTGGCGACACGGGTCCAGTGGTGACCCTGTGGTAGAGGCAGGTGGCCGTGACCTTGTGGGCAGCCAGTACGCAACCGTCCGCAGACACTCTGGGGTACTCGCCCCTTGAATCCAACATTCTCAACGGCAAAACGAGTTTAAATATGACGGACGTAACCCCCCCCCCCCTTTACCTCTGGCGTGTTGTCCATATTTGAAAGAACATTTATAAAGCACATTTATGAACACATGGTGTTGTGTGTGTAGACTGTACAGTCAGTACAACGGCCTGTCAACACGTGTGACAGCCCCAGTATTGTGAACTATCCCGAGGAAGACCAGTGTCCCAGCTCCTCCTCACCACGGGCTCACCATAGCCCGTGTTACTTGGAACTTATTGTTCCATGTAGCGAATCTTTAACAACAACATTCTCCTCACTCATCTCTACGGTGCAGAGGGGATGGGGGGGGGGAGAGATTCTCACGATGGCGCAGCATAAAGGGGAAATCACGTGAGCTCTTACGGAATAAAAATTAATTCATAATTGCAGAGGGAAAGAGAAGAAAACTCCAAGGGCGAGGTGGCAACACTGCCAACACCCTCAAGGTGTACACCCAGACACGAGGGGGCAACACTGCCAACACCCTCAAGGTGTACACCCAGACACGAGGTGGCAACACTGCCAACACCCTCAAGGTGTACACCCAGACACGAGGTGGCAACACTGCCAACACCCTCAAGGTGTACACCCAGACACGAGGTGGCAACACTGCCAACACCCTCAAGGTGTACACCCAGACACGAGGTGGCAACACTGCCAACACCCTCAAGGTGTACACCCAGACACGAGGTGGCAACACTGCCAACACCCTCAAGGTGTACACCCAGACACGAGGTGGCAACACTGCCAACACCCTCAAGGTATACACCCCAGAGACGAGGTGGCAACACTGCCAACACCCTCAAGGTATACACCCCAGCGACGAGGTGGCAACACTGCTAACACTGCCAACACCCTCAAGGTGTACAACCAGAGACGAGGTGGCAACACTGCCTACACTAGCAAGGTGTACACCCAGAGACGGTGGCAACACTGCCTACACCCTCAAGGTGTACACCCCAGAGACGAGGTGGCAACACTGCCTACACCCTCAAGGTGTACACCCAGAGACGGTGGCAACACTGCCTACACCCTCAAGGTGTACACCCCAGAGACGAGGTATCAACACTCGGGTGTAGAGAACTCGTTACTAATACAATCAGTACACGTATAACACATTGCTATGGTCATGGGATTGGTTATTACATGGCTCGTGTGACCATCTTTGGCCAATCAACGGGTGGGGGGGGGAGTCAACCAGCCGCGCTAACGTCAAATCGGTCCTAAATCGAATCTAATCTAACCTAGCCCTAATGAAACTTAAAACTAACTTATCCTAACCTATTTCTTCCAATCCTAATAGGGTGTAATAACCTTGAAAATTAAACCAAAAGACATCTTGATAACCCGACCGGTCGAGCTTTAATTCTTAGAATTTAGCCGGATTGTGCACTGGGTGGCGAGTGCTGTGACCACGAGTAAAGTCTGAATATGAATAATAGTGAGAATATCATGGACCAGAGAGGCCTGGACGAGTACAGTGGCTTTAACAGGTGCAGAGTAGTCTGGACGGATACAGTAACCTAGACGGGTACAGTAGCCTAGACGGGTACAGTAGCCTAGACGGGTACAGTAACCTAGACGGGTACAGTAACCTAGACGGGTACAATAACCTAGACGGGTACAGTAACCTAGACGGGTACAGTAGCCTAGACGGGTACAGTAGCCTAGACGGGTACAGTAGCCTAGACGGGTACAGTAGCCTAGACGGGTACAGTAGCCTAGACGGGTACAGTAGCCTAGACGGGTACAGTAGCCTAGACGGGTACAGTAGCCTAGACGGGTACAGTAGCCTAGACGGATACAGTAGCCTAGACGGGTACAGTAGCCTAGACGTGTACAGTAGCCTAGACGGGTACAGTAACCTAGACGGGTACAGTAACCTAGACGGGTACAGTAACCTAGACGGATACAGTAACCTAGACGGGTACAGTAGCCTAGACGGGTACAGTAGCCTAGACGGGTACAGTAGCCTAGACGGGTACAGTAGCCTGTCCAGGAGCAAAGTAGTAGACATGGGTACAGTAGCCTGTCCAGGAACACACTGTAGTAGCCGAGATGGGTAGAATAGTGTAGACGGGTAGAGATCCCTAACGAGTAGGGTTGGCAGTTGTGAGGATGAGGGCGAGAGTGGAGTTGGGAGCACGGAGGGTCGACCTGGGGTGCCCGGGGCTGACACCGCCCACAGTATCACCACCTCAGATAACGACTCGGTAACCCTGCTTTCTCAACAACACACACACGCACGCAAGCACACACGCAAGCACTAGGTTGTTGTGGAGTGTGGGTGTGGTCGCTGATACAAGCATATTAGGAGAGATGAGGGGACAGTGTACACACCCTGACAGTGTTAATACTGGTGGGAGTCTCGTCCTTAAGACTCCACTGCAGCTGAGGCTTATCCCCACCAACCAATAGGCGAACGTTTCTTCCCAAGAGCTGAGATTTGACGGGTTAAGCTGGGCTCGGCCAGGCCAGGTGGACGGACCGAGCAGAGTGATCTCAGCAGACATTTGATCAGTTGTCACAATGCTCTCTTGTGCCCTGGATTGGCCTCAACTGCGCCCCTCCTACCTCATTATGCGTGGATATGTGCCTCCGATCTCTTATAATGGCTGCTTATTGCGTGCCAGGAGACACAACACCGCGAACTACAATCACAGTCCGAAATCTTTTAAAAATGAACGAAAGTTAGCGAGACGCGGCGAGACTGGAATGGTGTTGAGGTTACCAAACAGTACCAAGGCGCTCAGACTCGCAGTACCGCTCTACTTCCTCATACTTGTTCACATGTTTAGCGGCTTCGCATTAAGTGTAGTGTTAGGATAATATTTGAGAAGAGGCGTGGAGGGAGTGAGAGGAGAGGTAGGGTGTGAGAGGTGAGGAGGGGGGGCTGGGGTGAGGGCGCATGGGGCGGGCGGGTGGCGGGCCGCCGTGTGAGGGGTGCAGTAGAAGTTGTGTAGACGCTGTGCGGTGAACACAGGTGCTGCTGTGGCTCGCCTCCGAGCTCTTATCACGGCTGTGTCCTCGCCTCACGCCGCTGGAGTACAGCAGTAGAGTGTTAGTGTTGAGCAGTAAGGTGTATGCCAGACTGCGGCGGGATCTGCTGTAGTGGCCGCAGGAGGAGATGCTAGGGTGCGGTGTTGCAGGGTGCGGGCGCCTGCAGTGTGTGCCCCGACCCTGCCATGCTGTGCTGACCTCCCCCCACTAGCCTTCCTTTCCCCCCCCCTCCCTCGAGGGTCGTGCACACACTAGTGTTAGTGTTAGTGAGGTATTGTTACACGTGTGTTGCCCCGGCGTGAGCGAGGTGGTAGGTAGGACTGCCGGGCATCGACGCCTCTAATCACCATGTTCGGTAGTCTCGTGCAGAAGCTGCAATCGCTGAGCCCTCTGGCCAGCCCCACCACCTCCCCCTCCACCAGCCCCAAGCTCCGCAGAAAACTGGGCTTCGGGAAGTCTCGGAAGAGGAAGGACTCCGGGTTCTCGCGGGAGGACCTGCGGGAGGTGCAGAGTGAGCCGGAGCTCGAGTATGACGCCCCCAGCAGGGGTCGTCGCAAGACTAGCGCCCCGCCTCACACCGCCGCTGCCAGGAAGGGCATCGGACGGGGTAGGGCGCCCGTGGACGAGCCCTACCCCGCCCACCAGGACCTGGAAAACATTTACGACGTGCCCGCCAGGCTGAGGAGGAAGGTGGACACGCCCACGCCCGCAGCCCGCCGCCTGGAGGGCTCCCGCACCGTAGGCAGGATGGAGGGACTCAAGCAGGTGAGTCACGTGACTCCTCTCTTCTTGTGGACCGCTGTAGCCAGGTGGTCTATCAGTGTGGCTATACTGCGCTGATGAGTCGCACCTCACGATCCATCCTGACACCGTGACACCTGACACCAAACAAAGTATAAAAGGTTCTGCCACCTGTCTGGTGTCACGAAGAGATGTGCTCATTGTATGATCAGTAAACAACACATGTAAAATATAAAATTTTGTACTACGCGCACGCGCGTGCACTGTGTGTGTGTGTGTGTGTGTGTGTGTGTGTGTGTGTGTGTGTGTGTGTGTGTGTGTGTGTGCGTGTGTGTGTGTGTGTGTGTGCGTGCGTGTGCGCGCGCGCGCTAGTCCACCAGTGATAGTAGCCTAATACCTTATAAACGTGAATATACATTTTTCGTTAGAAATAATTTAGACCACTGCAGCGAGAGCTTCATATTCGTCGACCGTTACAGTGAGAGCTTCATATTCGTCGACCGTTACAGTGAGAGCTTCATATTCGTCGACCGCTACAGTGAGAGCTTCATATTCGTCGACCGCTACAGTGAGAGCTTCATATTCGTCGACCGCTACAGTGAGAGCTTCATATTCGTCGACCGTTACAGTGAGAGCTTCATATTCGTCGACCGCTACAGTGAGAGCTTCATATTCGTCGACCGCTACAGTGAGAGCTTCATATTCGTCGACCGCTACAGTGAGAGCTTCATATTCGTCGACCGCTACAGTGAGAGCTTCATATTCGTCGACCGCTACAGTGAGAGCTTCATATTCGTCGACCGTTACAGTGAGAGCTTCATATTCGTCGACCGTTACAGTGAGAGCTTCATATTCGTCGACCGTTACAGTGAGAGCTTCATATTCGTCGACCGTTACAGTGAGAGCTTCATATTCGTCGACCGTTACAGTGAGAGCTTCATATTCGTCGACCGTTACAGTGAGAGCTTCATATTCGTCGACCGTTACAGTGAGAGCTGCGCGTACATTGACCGTTGTGGTCGGAGCTTCTTAGTTATTGACCATTTCAAGGCTTCATGACCATTGACCACAACACCCAGAGCACCGTGACCATTGACCACAACACCCAGAGCACCGTGACCATTGACCACAACGCCCAGAGCACCGTGACCATTGACCACAACGCCCAGAGCACCGTGACCATTGACCACAACGCCCAGAGCACCGTGACCATTGACCACAACGCCCAGTGCTCCGTGACCATTGACCACAACGCCCAGAGCACCGTGACCATTGACCACAACGCCCAGAGCACCGTGACCATTGACCACAACGCCCAGAGCACCGTGACCATTGACCACAACACCCCAGAGCACCGTGACCATTGACCACAACACCCCAGAGCACCGTGACCATTGACCACAACACCCCAGAGCACCGTGACCATTGACCACAACACCCCAGAGCACCGTGACCATTGACCACAACACCCCAGAGCACCGTGACCATTGACCACAACACCCCAGAGCACCGTGACCATTGACCACAACACCCCAGAGCACCGTGACCATTGACCACAACACCCCAGAGCACCGTGACCATTGACCACAACACCCCAGAGCACCGTGACCATTGACCACAACACCCCAGAGCACCGTGACCATTGACCACAACACCCCAGAGCACCGTGACCATTGACCACAACACCCCAGAGCACCGTGACCATTGACCACAACGCCCAGAGCACCGTGACCATTGACCACAACGCCCAGAGCACCGTGACCATTGACCACAACGCCCAGAGCACCGTGACCATTGACCACAACGCCCAGAGCACCGTGACCATTGACCACAACGCCCAGAGCACCGTGACCATTGACCACAACGCCCAGAGCACCGTGACCATTGACCACAACGCCCAGAGCACCGTGACCATTGACCACAACGCCCAGAGCACCGTGACCATTGACCACAACGCCCAGAGCACCGTGACCATTGACCACAACGCCCAGAGCACCGTGACCATTGACCACAACGCCCAGAGCACCGTGACCATTGACCACAACGCCCAGAGCACCGTGACCATTGACCACAACGCCCAGAGCACCGTGACCATTGACCACAACGCCCAGAGCACCGTGACCATTGACCACAACGCCCAGAGCACCGTGACCATTGACCACAACGCCCAGAGCACCGTGACCATTGACCACAACGCCCAGAGCACCGTGACCATTGACCACAACGCCCAGAGCACCGTGACCATTGACCACAACGCCCAGAGCACCGTGACCATTGACCACAACGCCCAGAGCACCGTGACCATTGACCACAACGCCCAGAGCACCGTGACCATTGACCACAACGCCCAGAGCACCGTGACCATTGACCACAACGCCCAGAGCACCGTGACCATTGACCACAACGCCCAGAGCACCGTGACCATTGACCACAACGCCCAGAGCACCGTGACCATTGACCACAACGCCCAGAGCACCGTGACCATTGACCACAACGCCCAGAGCACCGTGACCATTGACCACAACGCCCAGAGCACCGTGACCATTGACCACAACGCCCAGAGCACCGTGACCATTGACCACAACGCCCAGAGCACCGTGACCATTGACCACAACGCCCAGAGCACCGTGACCATTGACCACAACGCCCAGAGCACCGTGACCATTGACCACAACGCCCCAGAGCACCGTGACCATTGACCACAACGCCCCAGAGCACCGTGACCATTGACCACAACGCCCCAGAGCACCGTGACCATTGACCACAACACCCCAGAGCACCGTGACCATTGACCACAACACCCCAGAGCACCGTGACCATTGACCACAACACCCCAGAGCACCGTGACCATTGACCACAACACCCAGAGCACCGTGACCATTGACCACAACACCCCAGAGCACCGTGACCATTGACCACAACACCCCAGAGCACCGTGACCATTGACCACAACACCCCAGAGCACCGTGACCATTGACCACAACACCCCAGAGCACCGTGACCATTGACTACAACACCCCAGAGCACCGTGACCATTGACCACAACACCCAGAGCACCGTGACCATTGACCACAACACCCCAGAGCACCGTGACCATTGCAGCTGAGAGCGAGTGTACTCTAGTCACCCGCCTCAGGGTCGTCCACTTTTCTTAAGAGTTCAAGAGTAGAAACTTAAGAGATTTGTCTCGCTCTCAGATTTGCGAATGTGAGCACGAGGTTCAAAGAGTTAATATAAACTTTGAGAGCGTTAAAAATTATATGAAGTGAAAACATTTCTTTACCGATGCCAAAACCTGGCACCGGTAGAGAAATGTGAAGAATAACCGATGAGTTAATGATGACTAAGAAGATGATAACACTGAGAACATTATCAGCATGTAATGATAGTGGTCTATGGATAGTCAGGAAATATTGTCACAGGAAAATGCTAGGTTAAAATGTAAGGGGGTTAGGCTTACGGAGCGCTGCGTGTGTGTATTTACTCTTAGTACCTGCAGGATCGAGCTATTAGCTCTTGAACCCCACCTGTCCAACCGTTGGTTGTCTAAAGTACACACTCTCAACCTATTTTTCCTCTATCATATGTACTACATATATTTCAAGCGCACACATCCCCAAGATGCAGCCCGCAGCAGTTATCTAACTCCCGGGTACCTATTTACATATAGGTGAACAGGTGCATTAGGTGACCCCACCACCAGCCTCACTGAACGCCAGCATCCTGTCATAATATGGCCGCGTGGTGGGCACGCTTCAAGAGCCTAAATGACCGCTATAAGGTCAGTGAAGGTGGCCTGACCAGACCCCCACACGTAGTGAGTGGCCAGGCAGACCATTAATATTATACTAATAACACCAATGACAACAATGACGATAATTTACAATAACTATCATAATTATAATATAACAATTAAAATAGCGTTATAATATAATGTTGTTAGTAATATGTTGTTGTTTAAGATTCGCTACCTGGAACAAAGTTCCAAGTAGCACGGGCTATGGTGAGCCCGTAGTGGACTGTTAGTAATAGTATTAATAATAATTATACACATGCACACAAAAATCACATTAACGTAGTAAATATCAGTGAGAACAAACGTTCTCATTGATGTATATCACGTTAATGTGATTTGTTTGGAAGGTGTAGGATCACTATGACCTTCCACCCGAGTGCTTGTGGGTCATGCATAAACACTTGGACTGCCTTCAGTACTTGCACTTGGGAGCTCCAGACTTCGTTATTTCAATAGAAATCCGGTTGTGTGACTATTTGCAAAGATGGTCTAGTGGTAGAGTACGCGACTGGCAATGCCGGGGTCGTTGGTTCGAGCCCACCTATAGTCCTAGTGTATTTTCTCAATTATAGAAATAATATTAATGTTTCTATTTTATTAACAATAATAATAAACAATAACAACGAGTATGAAGATGATGCAAAGGTTGCCCCGAGCAAGGAAACACTACAGTACGAGACGCGCCTCCACTACAGCACAGGATAGTCCCAGAATAACAACACCCGCCCTCAACACAGCCCCAACACAGCCCCAACACAGCACAGGTAGTAACAACACCAGCCCCAACACAGCACAGGTAGTAACAACACCTGCCCCCCAACACAGCCCAGACACCAGCCAGGTAATAACAACACCTGCCCCCCAACACAGCCCCAACACCAGCCAGGTAATAACAACACAGCCCCAACACAGCACAGGTAGTAACAACACCTGCCCCCCAACACAGCCCAGACACCAGCCAGGTAATAACAACACCTGCCCCCCAACACAGCCCCAACACCAGCCAGGTAATAACACAGCACAGGTAGTAACAACACCTGCCCCCCAACACAGCCCCAACAAAGCCCCGGTAGTAACAACACCTGCCCCCAACGCAGCCCCAACACCAGCCCCGGTAGTAACAACACTTGCCCCCAACGCAGCCCCAACACCAGCCCCGGTAGTAACAACACTTGCCCCCAACGCAGCCCCAACACCAGCCCCGGTAGTAACAACACCTGCCCTCCAGCAGGTGGAGTCACTCCTCCATCACAAGAAGACGTTCCAACATCTTCCATGATCATCAGGCTCATCACCAAGACTTGATATCAATATTGCTGATACAAATCACGCAAAACCAAAGAGAGAGAACATAATAAGTTCATGGAGAGCGTCCACTTGCGAAGAACACCAGTTGCCTGAAGATCTTGCCATCAGTATTCTGAAGCGTAACGTATCTGAGAGAAGAAAGGAGAGGGGGAAGGGGGAAATATAATGAAAACACAACAGTAAACTGAACAAACTACAAAAAGACAGTGAATAACATCGCCTCGCTCAAGAACATAACATTTATAAACAGCACATTATAAAGCACGATATGTTACAGAACACAACAAGAACAGTTCAAAGCAGAAGCAGGCGCCACAGCAGGAACATGGACACATCAGGAGCAGAAGTTACAAGGAGCCACAGCAGGATGAACAGAAGCAGAGTGTAGTGAGCTAGGAAAGGTGGCGGTGCACCTCCACCTGCCCAGGCCTCAGGTGTAAGGGCAGTGGTCAGGGCACCACACTCCCACTCTTCACATTCCCCTACTCACAACACACTCCCACCCACCCCACACTTTTACGTACACAACATAATCATTCCAATCTACACACTCGCACTCACTCTCCCATCTACAGTAGTCTGACTTATATCAGACCAATCCAGGTAATATGCAGCTCCTGCCTGGAGTACATACCTAGTTAAACACAAAACAAAGTTAAGAGAAGAGTCTGAGAGGTATGACCTACGAGGAAAGGCTAAGGGAGCTGAACCTCACGTCCCTGGAAAACAGAAGAGTAAGAAAAGACATGATAACCACCTACAAAATTCTCAAGGGAATTGACAGGGTGGACAAAGACAAACTCTTTAGCACAGGTGGAACATGAACAAATGGAATGCATTATTAAGCAGTGATGTGGTGGAGGCAGACTCCATACATAGTTTCAAATGTAGATTTGTTAGAGCCCTGTAAGCTCAAGGATCTGTACACTAGTTGATTGACTGTTGAGAGGCGGGACCAAAGAGCCAAAGCTCAACCCCCGCAAGTACAACCAGGTGAGTACAGTACATTCACTGCTATTCACTCACGTTAATGACTCCACTTTGCTCGATGCCTCATTTTTCAGTCAAAAATTGTCCAGCTCGTGTCTCTGATGGGAACTTCTTGATCATAAATCCGATTTAATTTGAATAAAACTCAGTTTTTGCGTATCACATTAAAACAAAGCAGCATTATTCATTGTTCATTGCCAGCTTTACTGTGAAAATTCTTATGTATCGATCCTTTTTCTATAACTTAGAAATTATAGTGTCTAGATTTGTCATGAAAACTTTTCTGCGATTGCCAGTAATGTCAATAGGGAGAGAATTCTTATCTTAATGTTTAACGTGCAAGTCATGGTTTCGTTTTTTTCTTCAGCTCCCATTCTGCCAAAATTATTTGATGTTAATGAATATCTACTTTCAGGTGAACTACTGTTTATCTCAATAGTTCACCTGACATCGTTTTAAATATTGAATAACTAACCTCCTGCTGTAAATCTGCATCTCTCTCTCGTGAAGCCAACGCATCCTCCCAATAGACAGTACGGTTTAATACTAAGTGTAATAAGTACAATTCCTGACTGCTAGGAATAGTACATAATTACTTACTTGTGCCGTTATATTTCCCTCCCCATATTGGGAGGCTGGGCTGTGTGAAGCGCTCTCGGGTGCTTGTCTGGCGTCTCTACACTCTCTACAAGTCAGTAGACTCTCTTCTCGTGTATACCTTTGGTTAACTATCCTGAAATACGTCTATATGAGCGAACATTTTCCACTTGACAACTATTTTGTCTCTCTTGGACAGTAGTTTACAGATGTTTTGACCTGCCAAGTTGGCTTATCATTGCGATACTGTTTCTGATGTGTCCTGTTGTATACGGAAAATTAAATCAAACAATTTACCCCAGTCCACAGTTTAGATGATAAGCTTTGATTAATGTGTTGAAAACTGACGTACCGTTCCCTTGCTGAGGTAATTGATCATTAGATATGTAACCCTGCACGCCGCGAGCGTGGGTGCCGAGTACCAGCAACAACAGGGAGTGAGGTCACCACTACTCCCTCCCCAACACATGTGTAAAACCTCCGCGAGTGATGAGTCAAGTTGTATGTAAACTACCACACCTGCAGAGTGGCCACGCGGTCATAAAAGGTAGAGACGACGTTGAAGACTTCTACATCCACTACTACTCTTGCTACTGCTCTTGTTGTTATTGGTAGTGGTACTGGTAGTGGTCGTACTGGTGGTGGTGGTACTGGTGTTGGTGTTACTAGAGGTGGTGTTACGAGTGGTGGTGGTGGTACTGGTGTTACGGTCAGCACGTGACTGACGTGACAGGTGACCACGACAGGTGGCTGCACGTGTCCCAACGTTTTTACAGACCCGACCGCCGCTCCCGCGGAAGCCACATACTGTACTTCCACTTTGGTGTTTAGTGGGCGTTATTGTGGTGGTGGTTATGCTGTATTGGGAGTGATCGATGAAGATTAAGCCACCCAAGAGGTGGCACGGGCATGAATAGCCCGTAAGTGGTAGATTTTTCGAGTGATGTAGGTGTGCTTACCAAATAGTGTCCTTGGGAGGTGAGGTGGAGGTGTTGATGCCCTGCCTAC